CATTGGAAGCAGATCAGAGAAGTTTCATTGGATTAGTAGGAGTAGGCCATTCAGCCCCTCGAGCCTGCTCCATTATTTGATACAATCATGGCTGATCTCATTTTTGTTTTAACTCCACTATCTTGCCCTCTCTCCAACCCATTATAAATTCCAAATCTGTTTTTCTCCTCCTTAAGTTTATTCAGTATCCTGGCATCTGAGGGAGTGAATTCTACAGGTTCTCACTGTTTGGGCGGCACGGTAGCTCAGTGGTTAGCACTGCTGCGTCACACACCCAGGATCTGAGTTCACTGCCAGTCTTGGGCAACTGTCTGCGAGCAGTTTGCACATTCTCCTTGTGTCTGTGTGAGTGTCCTCCCACAGTCCAAAGATGTGCAGGTTAGGGTGGATTAGCCATGCTAAATAGTGTCCAGGGATGTGTGGGTTAGCCACAGTGAATGTGGAGTTACAGGGATATGATAGGGAGTTGGATCTGGATAGGATGCTCTCTGGGGGGTTGGTGTGGACTCGATGGGCTGAATGGCCTCTTTCCACCCTGTAGGAATTCTGTGATTCTTCAGGAAGTCAATTCTCCCCATCTCTGTTTTAAATCAGCCACCTCCTTATCCTAAACCATGACCTCACATTCTAGACTGCCCCACGAGGGGAATTATCCTCTCTACATCTATTTTGTCAGTCCCTTTAGCATCTTGTAAGCCTCAATTAGATTTCCTCTCATTCTTCTAAACTCCTGGGAGTATAGCCCTAAAATCTTCAATCTCTCTTCATAAGACAAGCCTTGATCTCTGTATTAATCTAGTAAACCTTCCCTAAACTGCCTCCAATACAATTACATCCATTCTCAAGTGAGGGGACCAAAACTGCATGCAGTACTCTAAACATCATCTCACTTAGACTTTATAAATCAGATCATAGGGCGCAAATCTCATCCTTCTTAGCAAATGTTTATAAAATAGAAGTTCAGCCTCAGCTTAGAGAAAAAACGGCTAGGGTGAGGTGTAACAGAGATGTTCAAATTGCAAGAGGCTTTCAATCGAATAATTCAGGGGAAAGTGTTTCCAGAGGGAGCAGATACAAGTTTAATTTAATTACCAAAACAACCAGAGGGTATCTTGTTTGTGAGTCACTGTGATCTGAGAAGGTGATGGATACAGATTCAGTAGAAACTATCAAAAGAATATAGGATACGTCATATCGGATACAGAGACAAAAGGGTATGGATGATGTAAAGGGAAAGGGACTGGAGAATGGAACAAGGGGATAGCTTTTACAAAGATAAACACACACATGATGGGCCAAATGGCCTCCTTCGAGATGGTCCATGTTATCACCCATCTTAGCCATGACGCTTTATAACTGAGCGAAAAATCGAACAGCTCTAGTCGTCTCGTTCTCTGTGCTGAGGACTAATAGAGTCTACACACCCCATTATGGGATGTTTTTGTTCAGCCAATTGCCTAATTCAGAGCTTCCAGTAACAGTCTCATGGTGACTCACCAATAATCAAGCTCCTTTCTGGCATGACATGCAGAACTGATCTAGGCTTGAGCCACAGGTCAACAGAGAGATCTTCTTTTTACTACTGTGTGTTCTTCGGTCTTCCCTTTGATCATTTGCTACATTACAATCTGGGTGGTTTACAGAACCGTAAAATCAGGCAGCGCAGGAGGAGGCTATTCGGCCCGCCATTGTTATACTGACTCCTTGAAGGAACTGTCCAATTAGTCCCACACCCCTGCTTTTTGACCCATGCAAACTGTACCTCTTGGGAGTGTAGATCATTGAGTCATACAGCATGGAAACAGGCCCTTCAGTCCATCTGACATGGTCAATGACCTATCTGAAGAGAGTGCTGGAAGGTGAGCATGGTACACACTGCTCACACTCAGCACGCTTACAAAGCTTTCTCTTTTGACTTTTGACGACGCCGAGAGAGCTCTGCTTGGCTTCAAACAATCACCTGTCTTATCCCCCGAGGGGACTTGCCTCTGTTAACAACACCCCCTCCCATTTCCTTGTTGTCTCCCCTCTAGCCTTTGGATGATTAACACATTGTCCATCTGAGCAGTATCATGCTGCTCTGACATCTGAGGCTTCGCCACAAATAGCAGCTGCTTCCTCAGGTTGTAAATGCCTACACGTCTCTACCCTCCCTCAACCCCTAGATTCTTCTTTAGCTCATCCCTTCGACTGAAGATTTATCCCCACCTGAACCATTTCCTTGTTTGTTCAGCTCTTGCTGTCTACGTCTGATTCCACTTCTCTGAAGTGTTTAGGAATGTATCGCAGCATGAATTGACCTATAAAATCACCAGACGTCATTGCTGTGATTGCGCTGGTTCTGGCAAATGGATCCACTGTGGCTTTCTCTCCTAAAGTTTAGACATACCTAAAATTTTCACCGCAGTCTCTGGGGTTTGAGGATGAAACTTCATCTGAAAGCTGAGGGGAAATCTTCCAATCTCCTACCCCCAGTGTGCAGACCCAGCACAAGCACACAGGTAATGTGACACATCGATCAGGCAACACACACTGTCCTGACACACAGTGGAAGGAAGAGGCTAAGGCTCAGAACATATTTGTTATACATGGACGTTTAGGGGAAGGGTCACAAACACTGAGATACACACTCACCAGAATTATTTCTTGTGAAAAAAATATTTATTTCACTCGCGGTCTGAGGATATTCATCACAAAGGAGCAGAAAAGGTTTTCTTTTACAGGCATGATTAATAGCTTGGCGAATTGAAACCTGTAAAGATCCTTTTGGAATAAGGAATCTCTTCACTCGCTCCTATGCTGCTTAATATGGACTCAACCTGTACAAGAGTCAAGATTTCAAAATTCTCATTTTCTCCATCTCTGTCACCTCCTCCAGCCCCTACACCCCTCCCTATCTCTGTGTCCTCCTCCAGCCCCCTACACCCCTCCCTATCTCTGTCACCTCCTCCAGCCCCTACACCCCTCCCTATCTCTGTAACCCCCTCCAGCCCCTACACCCCTCCCTATCGCTGTAACCCCCTCCAGCCCCTACACCCCTCCCTATCTCCATAACGTCCTCCAGCCCCTACACCCCTCCCTATCTCTGTCACCTCCTCCAGCCCCTACACCCCCTCCCTATCTCCATAACCTCCTCTGGCTCCACAGCCGTCTACACTTTTCACTCCTTTAATTCTACCTCTTAAGCTTCTTAATGTTAAGGACTCCCCCATCGATAGATGTTCCTTCAGCGGCCTGGTCCCTAAGCCTAGGGCTGGACTTATACACTTAATTGTAGGGTCCTGAGGAGTGCTGCCGAACAGAGACCTTAGAGTGCAATTTCAAAGTTCCTTGAAAGTGGAGTTCCAGGTAGACAGAACAGTAAAGAAGGTATGCGCCTTTATTGGTCAGTGCATTGAGTATAGGAATTGGGAGGTGATATTGCAGCTCGACACAACATTGGTTAGGCCACTTTTAAAGTATTGCATGCAATTCTGGTCTCCCTGCTGCAGGAAAGATGTTGTGAAACTTGAAAGGGTTCACAAAAAATTAACAAGGATGTTGCCAGGGTTGGGGGGTTTGAGCTACAGGGAGAGGCTGGATAGGCTGGGGCTATTTTCCCTGGAGTGTCTGAGGCTGAGGGGTGACCTTATAGAAGTTTATAAGATCATGAGGGGCATAGATAAGGTGAATAGCCAAGGTCTTTTCCCAGGGATAGGTGAGTCCAAAACTAGATGGGATAGGTTTAAGGTGAGAGGGGAAAGATTTAAGAGGGACCTAAGGGGCAAATTTTTCACGCAGAGGGTGGTGCGTGTATGGAATGAGCTGCCAGAGGAAGTGGAGGAGGTCGGTACAATTATAATATTTAAAAGGCATCTGGATGGGTGTATGAATAGGAAGGATTTACAGTGATGTGTGCCAAACGGGACTAGGTTAATTTAGGATATCTGGTCAGCAGGGATGAGTTGGACCGAAGGGTCTGTTTTTGTGCTGTGCAGATCTTTGACCTTTATGACTATGGAATTCCCCCCAGTAACTTCTCAATCCACAGAACTAACCTTTTCGTAACCTGACCCTAATAAGTGGCTGAATGTAAAATTTGATTTGGTAGCTAATCCTGTGAAATGGTGTGATGCAGTAAAGGTGCTATATAAATATGGTCAGAAATCACACCATACCAGGCTATAGTCCAATGAGTTTATGTGGAAACAGTAGCTTTTGGAGTCTCAGTCCTCTTTCAGGTGTTAGTGGGAGAGGGACTATCAGACACAGAATTTATAAGGGTCACACCACTGATGAGGATGTACTAAACAAACCTAAGATGCTGTTAAATCTTTAATCAGTTAGAAAGTTTAACTGGTTAATATATATATGTAAATCGCTAAATTCCTTTCAAGTCATGGTCCTGAGAGAACCTTTGATCCTGTGCTTATAAATTGTGTGTCTGATACTTGGTCTCTCACTAACACCTGAGGAAGGAGCGAGGTTACGAAAGCCTGTGTTTTCAAATAAACCTCTTGGATTATAACCTGGTGTCCTGTGATTTCTGACCTTGTCCCCCGCAATCCCACACCAGCACCTCCACATGATGGCTATATAAATATAACCGTCGTCAGTTGGTTTGTTTCTGTTTTGCACATCGGCAGTACATCCTTTCATAGTCGGCTGTGTTTCTTTCGGTTTGAATATATACGGTTTGATGTGATGGACATGGTTTTGAAGGGTTTGTTGATTTGATGAGCAGCTCCAGGTATTTCCGTGAGAACTCTTGGCTGTGGGTTCGATTCCCACATCAGAAATTCAGCAATGTTTAAGCTTTACTATTCCCGAGTAAGAGTCACGCTGTTTGTTTAGGATCGATATTGATACACGTGAAGGAAATAAGCAATTTTCATAGTACAGACATGAAGATTACACTCAGAATGATTTACTGATGTAGCAATTTCCGGCGTTAACTACCTGAATGCAAATACCTGGCAAATAAAAGTGGGCAGGGCAGGGAGGACTGCACTCAGCATTAGGGCCAGGTACTCTCCCTGTGTGCTGTAGTGCTTTAGGAACCTTGCAGTGTCTATGTCTCTCCTCCTGCCCATGGCCACCAGCACCTGCTCGCGGTGGAACCTGCTCCTTCTCCCAGGTAAGGGTTGAGAGTGGTTTGTGTGAAGGGGGCTGGGATGGTGCAAGCTGGTAGGGACTGCCTGGTGTTCCCTGGAGGATTGGGGCTCTCTCTGCCCACTCTGTGGCTGGGGGAAAGGAGGGATGGCATTGTGAGTGAGAGCTCCCAGCCAAGTCAGCGGTTCCCTCCCAAACCGCTCTCGATTTCCCTCCGCATTTTAAAAATCCAAGTTCTAAACCAGAAACTTTAAACGGCTTGTTTTAGACGGTGAATAACGAAAGGATTGCCACAAGAAGGTGTTCTCTGGAAAGGGGCACCCTATCGGTTGGGGAGGGAGGGGTCACTGGACGGTTATGATCCACCTCTATCTCACATTTCATTCGGGCGCAATTTCGGGCGATCCGTGTCTGTTTACCGCAACCCTCCATAAACTTGGATATATTCACCCCGGAGTAACATGCACAAGACTGGGTTTACTGAGGCCGCATGTTTCATGGAATCTCTCGTTTAAAGTTTAAAATCTCCTCTGCTCTCCCAGAGAAATAGGGGGAAAAGTCTTTGCATTGATCTAGCTCCTTTCTGGACCCCCAAGTGCTTGACAAGGAATGACTTTTAAAGTATTGTTGCAACTGGAGAGTTCGAAACGCAGCAACCGATTTGTGCACAGCAAGCTCCCACAGAGTGAATGTGATCAGGGGTTGAGTTGGGTTGGATTTGGCCGTGATGGGTCAGGGATAGATGTACTGACCATCTCCGTCTCCCTGTAATAGACCCCAGCATTTTGAATGTTCATCCCAGAGAGCAGACACATCCATGGTGTACTGACTTATTCAAAAGATAGCATCTCCAACAGCGCACAATTCCCTCAGGATTAAACCCTGTTTACTTTCCTCTAATTCTGGCTCTTAGTGTCACAGAGTCATACAGACCCTTCGGTCCAACCTGTCCATGCCGTCCATAATCCCAATCTAAACGAGCTCCATCTGCCTGCATTTAGCCCATATCCCTCCAAACACTTCTTATTCATGTACTTATCCAAATGTCTTTTAAACACTTTAACTGTACCCACATCCACCACTTCCTCTGGAAGTTCATTCCATACATGAGCCACCGTCTGCATAAACAAGAATTGCCCCTCGTCTGTTTTTTAAATCTTTCTCCCCTCACCTTAAAAATATGCCCCCTAATCTTGAAATCCCCCACCCCAGGGAAAAGACACCTGCCATTCACCTTATCTGTACCCCTCATTATTTTATAAGCCCTTATAAGGTCACCTCTCAACCTCTTACACTTAAGTGAAAAAAAAGTCCCAGCCTCTCCTTATAATTTGTAGCACCTCAACTTCCTTCAGCCACCTGAGCTCTTTAAGATCACAATTCCCTCCCTAAACATCTCCGGCTCTCACCTTCACTCTCTTTCTTTAAATTGGTCCTGTGAATCTCTTTGTTTGACATTTGGTCACCTGTCCTAATGTTTCTTCCTGTGGCTCATATCTTTCTTTCTTTAGTCTGAAAATTCCCCTGTTCAATGACTGTGGATATTTTACGACATTAAATGAGCTATTTAAATGTGAGTTGTTGCATCAATAATTTACCTGATTTTGAATTTTTGCTTTTTTTCCCCCCAATAAACATTTTCTTACAATGTTTCAGAATTCAAGTTTCTGGCAATACTAAAATGAGGGACTTAATAGTGACAGAAACGGTGAAAAGGCAAGGCTTAAATTTACCACAAAAATGATCAGCTTTACTCTCCGCACTTTGGGACATCCTGAAGTTGTGGAAGGTGCTAGTTAAATCCAATTTCATAGCTGCTTCAATGCAAAAGCAGAATATTGCACATATTGGAAATCTCAACCACAACAAAAAGCCCCAAAAAATGTTGAAATATCCAGGAGGTAGGCAGTGTCTGTGGAGAGAAGGATGTTTTGGAGACAGGGAGAGAGCTAATGTTTCAAGTGGATGACCATTGTCACTTCATGCTTTCAATTCATTTGAAATAATATTGTGTTTATCTTATTTCATATTTTGTAAACACTGATAAGTGCTCCCCTTGGCTACCTTCCTTTGAGAGAGTAGTTTTGAGATTTTTTTTCCCCATAACCCAGTCATTTTACCATGACAATTAATGTTTTTTCCATTCTCTCTTCAATATCTGTACATCACCTTGTGAAATGGTGATTAACTTTGCTTACAATGTTCTAACTCTGTTTTGTCCCATGTCCTGCCAAACCCCTCACTGACTTCTGGTGAACTGGGCAAAATGTTCCTGAACTCTATTCATTCCTGCAGCTCTTGACTGCTTTGTGTTAGCACTGCTATTGTTATATTTACTGTTACATCCAGATCTTTATTCAGATCTCTCTGGACTCAAGATTGTTTTCTTTTAGATTTATGACGCACTTTGCACCGCAATGTGTATCTGGTGTGTGCTACTTAACCTTAAATAGAAGCCTCCATCAGTTATGTTGCTATTCAATTGCATGACTCATTTATTCAGTCAGTTGCAAAATCTATTTGTTCCATCCAATTGCAAAACCCCTGATCTATATCCTCCATTTAAACCAGAGGAGCAGCTGCTCCTGTTTCAATTTAGCAACTTCCAGATTGAACACCGAGGTCAACAATGTCCGATCATAATCACCACTCATTTTTTTTGAACCTGCTGTTGCTATTTCCACCTCCTCCAAACCCATCTTGTTCCATTCCCAGGCCCTTCTGTCATTCACTATAACTGATCCTGATCTATCATAGACATTCTTTTTTGTTCACCCCATCTCCTTCTCTTGCTTCCAATTCTGGTGAAAGACTGTTGACATTGGATTGGAGTTTTCTGTTGGCTTTGAGACACTGATGTTGGAAGGACATGGGAGTTCGTATTCTATGTGTACCAGCAGTGACCAGCAGCTAATCTTCCCAAACCCCCATTGGCTGGTACCCTTCCCAATTCGCCCATTGGCTGGTATCATCCCCAATTCTCCCACTGGCTTGTTACCTCTCCTAATTCCTCATTGGTTGGTGCCAGCATCAAACCCCCATTGGCTGATGCCCTTTGCAATCTCTTATTGGCTGGTGGCCTCCTCCAATTCCTCCCTTTACTTCATTGGTCCCAGAGATAAGTCACTTCAGTTCCATGGAGTGACAGGAGAAACTATGCTTTGCTCCTTCAGGCAGAGAATGTTAAGAGGAAATTTAATAGAGTGCTCAAAGTCATGAAGGATTTTGATAGGGACAGACTGCTTTCAGAGGGTTGGAAGCCAGAGGTCAATGTTTTAAGGTGATTGATAAAAACAACTGAGGTGAATTCTGATCAGTGTAAGTTAGGGGATAGTGTTAAACTAACTTTCAATAGGGAATAGTGAGATGATGTGTCATGGTAATGCCATTGAGCTAGTAATCCAGAGACCCATGAATCACCAATACATTAATCAAATCTGGACCATAACTTCAGTAACTGTGACCCTGAATCTATCATTGATTGTTGTCAAAACCCAACTGGTTCATGAATGTCCTCTAGGAAAGGAATCTGCCACTTTACCTGGTCTGTGTGAGTTTCACTTGACCATAGGGCTGCTCTCTCATTAGAGGGAGACAACTGGTAGTGGTTTAACCTGAGGGTCACCATGCCTCAGGTGATGGGAGAGATTGAGAAGGAGAGTCCTTCACGATAACCTCAGCTGGTGATGGAAATTGAACCCACGCTGTTAGCATTACACCGTTTTGCAAACCAACCATCCAGCCAACTGAGCTAAACCAATCCCACTATTTGACTCCAGACCCACTGTAATGTGCTTATCTCCTAATTGCCCTCTGAAATGGCCGAGCAAGACACTCAGTTCAATGTGGAAATTAGGGATGGACAACAAACATCAGCTTTGCCAAATCCCATGAAAGAATAAAGAACAAGAAAATCCTAGGGCAGGACCTTACAAGGTAAGAATGAAACTCCCAAGCCTTTGTTGACCACGCTCTGTGCAATAGTCTTGTTGCTACTTGTAAGATGTAAAGGGAAAAATGCTGCATTTTTGTTTCTGCGAGGTGTTTGTGGAATGCAGAACCGCACCCATGGTGAAATATTTACAACCTTCAACAAACAACATGACAACGGACACAGATCTGAACTGAAAACAAGCAATTGGGAGTTAATGATTGTAACATAGGTGGGAAAGAAGGGCTTTTATGGCACACTGGCAGTGTCCCTACCCCTAACCTAGGAGACCCAGGTTCAAGTCTGTCCTCCTTCTGAACAGGTTGATTCAGGAAACATATATAAGGTTGAAAATGATAGTGCTTATAAGGGCTATTGTTGTACTGTGGTGGAATCCCTGCCTGAGCTATCAGACCAAGGTTCAAGTCTCATATGCTCCAGAGGTGTGTAATAACAGGTTGAGCAGAAAAGGTTGGAATTATTTTTGATAACATGTCATGGAATAAGCTGTCAATCCCAGGCATTATAGAATTTAACCCTTCGTTCTATGACAGCCAGAGAAAGCAGTAAGTGTTAGACTGATTGGGTAAGAGAGAGGAGGCTCATGTGAAGTCTAAACTCTGGCAAAACCCAGTTGGCTGGACTGTTCCCTCACTGCAACATGAGAGCAGTTCTCATTGACAGACATTCACTCCAGGTCTCAGGGTATCACTAAGTGGTGAATGGCCTCATCTGGTGGAACCTTAACACTGAGTGCTGGCTAGCTTAGTAGCTACTGAGGCATAAACGCCAAATCCTGAAGCTACCCACAGCTGAGGAGCTATTTCCTCGCTGCACTACCCAGTAAAGAGTTGGTGCTGGACGATAACCACATACTGAACAGATACAAGCTCTGAACCTTTTCAGTGGTTTCACTGAATACCCATCTAAATTCTGACAGAACCCAGCAAACCACTGCAAAAAGCCTGTGGGGTGTGAAAATTAGAATTTGGTTATGCAGAGTGATGGCAGACAAAATTTTTCAAAAAGGCTGACCAATGTAAACCTGCAACTGTCCCCCGACTAAGGGTGCTCTGGGTCTCCATCTTACTTGAAATGAGGGGGCGGGGGGTAAAGATTCACATTGCCGCACAATTTTAAACGTTTCAGCCTGATAGTCCCACTGCAATACTGAGGGAGCGCCGCACTGTCAGGGGGTTCAGTGCTGAGGGGGCGCCGCACTGTCGGGGGGTCAGTGCTGAGGGAGTGCCGCACTGTCGGAGGGTCAATGCTGAGGGAGCACCGCACTGTCGGGGTGGTCAGTGCTGAGGGGGCGCCGCACTGTCGGGGGGTCAGTGCTGAGGGGGCGCCGCACTGTCGGAGGGTCAGTACTGAGGGAGTGACGCACTGTCGGAGGGTCAGTGCTGAGGGAGCGCCGCACTGTCGGAGGGTCAGTACCGAGGAAGTGCCGCACTGTCGGAGGGTCAGTGCTGAGGGAGCGCCGCACTGTCGGAGGGTCAGCTGAGGGAACGCCGCACTGTCGGAGGGTCTCACAATAAGAATCCGAATTTGTGACTTTATTAAAACATACAATGAAATGTTGTAAAGCACATTTTGAATCTGAGCTTTAGGAAGAGCTGTTAGTGCAGTTGCCAGAAGAATGGCAGAAGTAGGTATTTTAAGCAGAGCCTTAAAGGAAGAAAGAGGTGGGAGAGGTGAGTGGTTGAAATCCTCGAGTGCAGGCAGCTGGGGGCACGCACACAGAGTGGAGCTAATTAATACTGTTGATGCACAGGAGGATCGTAGCGTCTGGAGGAGGTGACAGAGGTTGGGAGGGGGTGTAGGGGTCTCAGGGTGTGACAGAGATAGGGAGGGGTGTAGGGACTGGAGGAGGTGACAGAGATAGGGAGGGGGTGTAGGGGCTGGAGGAGGTGACAGAGATAGGGAGGGGGTGTAGGGGCTAGACGAAGTGACAGAGATAGGGGAAGCTGTAGGGGATCTGAAAAGGAAAATGAATTTCCAATCATGATTTGTTTCACTGGGAGCCGGGCTCTACAAGTATAACCATTTTGACTTCACCCTGTAGTCAGTCAGATTTAATGAAGTGCAGTTTTTGAGTGAAAGATGAAAGGATATTTCCTGGAAGTTGAGCAAATTGAAAGGGTGAACTGGAATTGACCAACATTGAGGTGCCTGACTTTCTCCTGCAACTGATATGTTTCAGAAACACAAAGATCTTGTTATCTCAAAGGCTTAATCATTTTCAGCCAAATGTACACAGCCTGTTAGTATGCAAATAGTTTACATCACATCAGCACAGAGCTGGGACTGTCACCTCAGGCAATTCCGATTGTTTAGTAACTTTCAAATCTAATGTCTGTCATGGGAGCGTGCTTTCAGCCTTGCCTCAAAATGCTGCTCCCTCAAACCTGAGAAAGGTCATGGTGGGTTCGGCCCCACAGAGTTTTGTTGAATTGGCAAACGAACTGGAGTAGGGGAACAAGGAGAATTATTTTAATGCAGTGTGTTACTGTAATCTGGAACTTGCTGCCTGATAGGGCAGTGGAAGGAGATTCAGTAATAACTTTCAAAAGGGAAATGGAATAATTGCTAGAAAAGGATAAAAAGGGAGGATTTGAGTGTGGGAATGTTGAGGAGCTGTTTGAAAGGTTTGACACAGGCGCAATGGGCTGAATGGCCACTGTCTGGGCTGTGTAATTCTAAATGAAGTGTTTTGGGTGTCAGAAAGAAACGATCTGGCATAACCTCAAAATAAGTTTACCTAGCCACCCTTGATCTTGACAAATCTTGTCTATTTTTTGTCAACAGTGTTTTGTCTGTATCACTTGTGTGATGCTGGAACAGTCATTCCAAGATGTGCCCCCAGACAGCTGACCGGTCAATGCAACAACACAGGTAAAAAACTTCTATTGTCACCTTTTTACGCTTTGTTCAGTATTCAATTTGTTTCCATGCACGTTAGTTTGAGAGAAGGATCCATTGCAAACATTTGCTCTGTCTGATTGGCTGTCTCTCTCTTCAGTTCTGAAGAACAGTCACTGGGACTTGAAACATTAACTCTGTTTCTCTCTCCACAGATGCTGCCAGACCTGCTGAGTTTCTCCAGCACTTTGTTTTTATTTCAGATTTCCAGCATCTGCAGTTCTTTGTTTGATTGTAGGGTGTGCTGTGTTTGGGATGACACACTTGATGTGGGACCTAGGAGCCTGCTTTAGAGCCCATAGCAGTCTTTGTGTTTGAAGAAGAACAGGGTATTCTTCCTAGTGTCCCTGCTAATAACAATCCCTCAGTAAATCAGACCATTTAACATTACCTCTTCCAAGGTGTTTGAGCCTGCTCTGTGCCTCTTTCTGCTGCATTTCTATTGTAATTTTGGACCAGATGAGGTGATGGCCTAGTGGTATTATTGCTGGACTGTTAACCCAGAGACCCAGGGAATGTTCTGGGGACCCAGGCAGATGGTGGAATTTGAATTCAATAAAAGTCTGGAATTAATAGTCTAACAATGACCATGAAACCATCACCAATTGTCAAGAAAAACCCATTTGGTTCACTAATGTCCTTTAGGGAAGGAAACTGCCATCCTTACCTGGTCTGGGCTACATGTGACTCCAGACCCACAGCAACGTAGTTGATACTTAACTTCCTCTTGGGCAATTAGGGATGGGTAATAAATGCTAGCCAAGCCAGTGATGCCCTTATCCCATGAATGAATAAATTTAAAAGAATTTATATCCCCATCTGTTTACAGACCAGTTATGTTTCTTTAAAGTGGACAAAGTATGAAATCCCCGTACTTATGAAGAGGTTCATGGTTTGGAATAAGCAACACTAAATTTTACCATACAATGTTGTAATATTAATATCTATACACACAACTTGTGCTGTAACATCCACAACTAACCAGAGGTAACCCACTCTGACTGAGCACATCAAATCGCAAATTTAGTCAAGAAAGATCCCATGGATTTCCCAGCAGCTTCCAGGTATCAGTGACATTATGTGGCACCAAACCTAATTAAAACCTTCACAAGGAACCATGATTCTTTGTTTTTTATCTCCTGGCCTTGAAACTTCCTCAGGATCCACTCCATCAATGTCTGCTTAAATGACTGCTCATATTCTGGAATTTCACCTTCTTTTCTATGATCAGTGCTTCCTTGGATTTGGAAATTGCTCTCCAGCCCTTGCTCACAAGTCCAACACCAGTTCTTCACAGGCAATTGGTGTCACCAATGGGTGACATAAAGACCCTGGATGTTTTTCCTGAGCTTTAATCTTGCTGGGCTGCACCAATTCAGTCCCAGAATTTCCTTGGGGCATTTTCCAGAACCCAAACACACAGGAACGGTGTAGTTCAGCCCTTTCTCAACAGTGCAACAGTAGCACTGATTACTATGGAACATGCCTCTGTCTCTCTCTCTCCTTCACACACTGCCTTACGGAGTCTGACTTCAACCACCTCCCTGAACCAGTTTGAGTGACCCCTATTGAAATCCATGCAACAAGCCCATGCTTGTTTCTAGGCAATATTGAATGTAACTACTATTTTGGAATAGTCAAATGCAGCAACGCCTCCAAACTCTCTGTTCCCTGAATATTACAGTTTTTTTTTTATAGACTGCTGGCTTAAACAGGACAAATTGCATTAAAAAAAGAGGATTTTGTTACAATTTCAGACCAGTTGGGTGGAAATAAGAAGTATCTCAGGGGTTTAATGATGCTTGTGTTTTGCTTTGACTTCTTCCTTATGTCCATGTTTTAAACCTCTAACGTAATTTCAAGTATTAAGGATATTTTATTTTAACTTTGCTGTATGGTTAAAGCTTATTCTTTATCAAACAGAGACACCAGTTCCAACTTCTCCAACCCCTGAGGTGAGGCAATCAAAGTGTCCTCTTTCCATGGAAAATTATTGTCTTAATGGAGACTGTGTGTACATTCCACATGAAAACATACACTACTGCAGGTGAGGAACTATGAAACACAATGAACGTGTCTAATTCCTCTCAGTGATTACTCACTTGTGCCGAATGCTATGTGCAGCTGCTGTGAACACATGGGAGGGGAAAAATTCAAATCAGCAAAGTTAATACTTTAGATCTTGATGAGGCCACACCTTGAGTATTGTGTGCAGTTTTGGTCTCCTAGTCTGGGGAAGGACATTCTTGCTGTTGAGGGAGTCCTGTGAAGGTTCACCAGACTGATTCGCGGGATGGCAGGACTGGCATATGAAGAAAGACTGGATCCACTGGGCTTGTACTCACTGGAATTTAGTAGAATGATGGAGGATTTCATAGAAACACATAAAATCCTCATGAGACTGGACAGGCTAGATGCAGGAAGAATGTTCCCAGTGATGGGGGAGTCCAGAACAAGGGGTCACTGTCTAAGAATAAGGGGTAGACCAATCAGAACTGAGATGAGGGAAGGTTCCTTTACTCAGAAACCTGTGAACCTGTGGAATTCTCTCCCACAGGAAGCTGTTGGGGTCAGTTCATTAGATATATTCAAGAGGGAGCTGGACGTGGCCCTTGTGGATAAAGGGATCAAGGTGTATGGGAAGAGGGCGGGAATGGGATATTGAGATTGCATGGTCTGCCATGATCATATTGAATGGTGGTGCAAGCTCAAAGGGCTGAATGGCCTACTCCTGCACCTATTTTCTATGTTTCTGCGTTAAAATGACAACCAAGAGGCAGGTCAGTCATAGACTGGTGATCTTATTGCCCAATGCACCTATACCAAGTGTTACCCAGCAACAACATTGTTTCATTCAACAACGCTCCTTCATACTCTGCAGCATTCCCCAGAGGCAGGCAACACAAAGGGTCACCTTCAGGTGAAGTAGGGTAAGAATGTGAGTCAACTGGAACAGGGTGGACGGACACATAACAATCTTAGATTGAAATTCATAACACCTCTGTTCTTGTTTAACAGCGTGCTGTCTTAGACACATACTGGACTGTGACATATCTACAGTTTCCAGAAAGCCTCTCCACCCACAAACAGGAATCACAATGTACTCAGGCTGTGCACTTTGAAGATTCCTGAGTTTCACAAATCCAGCCTTCTATGAGCCAGCATTTCATACCTGGTTAAATGAGCAATGTTGGAGACTGTGGGATCTGTAATTTGTACCAATCCTGTATAAGCATGTTTAGAAAGCAGATGTCATAAAACATAAACAGCACTAAACCCCTGAGATACTTCTCATTTCCATCCACGTCGCCTGAAATTGGAACAAAATCCTCTTTATATGCATACAATTAGAACATAGAACATAGAACATTACAGCGCAGTACAGGCCCTTCGGCCCTCGATGTTGCGCCGACCTGTGAAACCAATCTGAAGCCCATCTAACCTAAACTATTCCATTATCATCCATATGTTTATCCAATGACCATTTAAATGCCCTTAAAGTTGGCGAGTCTACTACTTTTGCAGGCAGGGCATTCCACGTCCTTACTACTCTCTGAGTAAAGAACCTACCTCTGACATCTGTCCTATATCTATCACCTCTCAATTTAAAGCTATGTCCCCTCGTGCTAGCCATCACCATCCGAGGAAAAAGGCCCCCACTGTCCACCCTGTCTAATCCTCTGATCATCTTGTATGTCTCTATCAAGTCACCTCTTAACCTTCTTTTCTCTAACAAAAACAGCCTCAAGTCCCTCAGCCTTTCTTCATAAGACCTTCCCTCCATACCAGGCAACATCCTGGTAAATCTCCTCTGCACCCTTTCCAATGCTTCCACATCCTTCCGATAATGCGGTGACCAGAACTGTACGCAATACTCCAAGTGTGGCCGCACCAGAGTTTTGTACAGCTGCAACATGACCTCATGGCTCCGAAACTCAATCCCGCTACCAATAAAACCTAACACACCGTACGCCTTCTTAACAACGCTATCAACCTGGGTGGCAACTTTCAGTGATCTATGCACATGGACACCGAGATCTCTCTGCTCATCCACACTACCAAGAATCTTACCATTAGCCCAGTACTCTGTATTCCTGTTACTTCTTCCAAAGTGAATCACCTCACACCTTTCCGCATTAAACTCCATTTGCCACCTCTCAGCCCAGCTCTGCAGCCTATCTATGTCCCTCTGTAACCTGCAACATCCTTCCACACTATCCACAACTCCACCGACTTTGGTGTCATCCGCAAATTTACTAACCCATCCTTTTATGCCCTCATCCAGGTCATTTATAAAAATGACAAACAGCAGTGGCCCCAAAACAGATCCTTGAGGTACACCACTAGTAACTGAACTCCAGGATGAACATTTCCCATCAACCACCACCCTCTGTCTTCTTACAGCTAGCCAATTTCTGATCCAAACCGCTAAATCACCCTCAATCCCATACCTCCATATTTTCTGCAATAGCCTACCATGGGGAACCTTATCAAACGCTTTACTGAAATCCAAATACACCACATCAACCGCTTTACCCTCATCCACCTTGCCACTGTGTAACCCGGCCGTGTAAAAATTGTAATATTCAGGGAATAGGGAATCCAAAGAGGTTGTCACATTTGACTGTTACAAAATGCTGGTCACTTTCAATATTTCCTCAGAACTAGGGTGAGGCTTGTTGCAAAAATTTTAACTGGCCATTCACAAAGCTCCATGGGAATGGTCCCAAGATTTCCGATTTTGCGCTTATTGTGTTAAAATACCTCGAGAGGCACAAGATGCTTATGCACATAGAAACAAGACGAGACTATTCAGCCCCTTAATTAAATCCAGGATGAAGCAGGAATTAATTGTACCCATCTGCATTAGTACAGAGGAATGGAACCCAAGGATTTCTCTGAGTTGGTGGTAGGTGTGAGGAGGACCTTATAGTTAATTCTACAATTTTTCTCCTTCAGGTGCACAAAAGGATACAGTGGTGCTAGGTGCATGCACTTTGAACTGGTCCAGCAACCAATGAGCAAACAAGATGTGGCACTGACGGTGGCTGTAACGTTCCTTGCTGTCGTGGGCCTGCTGATTGTCTCTTACTTGATCTACATGAGGTATTTATTGACTGCCCAGTCTTCAAAATCTAAAGCATGTCAATCCCTTGCTTTATTTAATTGTACAAACAGAAAAGTTGTAGAATTACACAAGATTTGCAGCACATATGTAGGTCCTTGTCAGAAGTAGTGTCTGCATGCTATATGACCTCCTTGTCCCCCAAATCCCACCCTATCAGTCTACCTTTTTTCTGCATTTTACCCCGTATCAATAGCTAGTTTCCCCTTGAATATATCTACCTTAGTCATAGACTTATAGAAAATAGGAGCAAGAGTAGGCCATTTGGCCCTTCGAGCCTGCTCTGCCTCTCCGTATGATTATGGCTCATTCTCTATCTCACTACCATGCCCTCTCTTCCTTTCCATCATCCTTTGATGCCTTTAACATCTCAAAATTTATTCACCTCAACTATTCCCTGTGAGAGCATGTCCCACATTCTGATTTATTTATTGTCGTGTGTATTCTCATCACTCTCTGGCTGAAGAAATTTCCTCTGAATTCCTGGTTAGATTTTTCCTGTGATTATCTGATATTGATAGTCTCTGGTTTTATGGATGAAGATTCTAATTGTAGCTTCTGGGTTATATCTTGCGTGTAAAGCCTTGCTCACAAAGCTGGTGCACAGAGCTAATATTTTTGATGCTGGCATTTTATTCACAGTTTTACTATCTTTGAATTTCATAGCGCTTAGAAGGGATGGTTCTTTGACCTTTGTCCTCATTGTTCCATAGTCTATGACATCCACCATCTAGAAGGACGAGGGCAGCAGATACATGGGAACACCACCCCTGACAAAATCCCCTCCAAGACACTCACCGTCCTGACTTGGAAATATATCACCTTTCCTTCAGTGTCATTGGGTCAAAATCCTGGAATTCCCTCCCTAAGGGACATTGTGGGTCAACCCACAGCACATGGACTGCAGCGGTTCAAGAAGGCAGCTCACTACCACCTCTGGAGGGCAGTTAGGGATGAGCAATGAAAGTTGACCCAGCCAGTGATGGATCGCTGCTAAGAAATTAATTAAAAATAATGACCAGAAAACTATTTAGCATTTGTTGGTATTGTATATAGGCCTCAGATTAACATTCACGTCAATTAAGATTCACATTAATGGTAGGGCTGATTCCTACATGGCCCAGGTGAACATAGAGATATTAGCACCAGGAAATGGAGCATTCAGGTCTCAAACCTGCCCTGCTATCCTTGTGGTTCATTGCTGATTTGAATTTCAAATCAATTTACACGCTGTTGATCCTTATCTCCTGATACCCTTCCTGAACAGTATGTACCTATGTCTAGAAACTCCAGTGGTGCTAACATTTTGAGAAGAGAGCTCCAGAGTTCTGCTTTCCTTTGTGCTGAAATTGTCTTTCTTGATTTCAGTCCTGAACAGCCTGATTCTAATTTTAAAATTATGTCCCTTTTTTCTTAATTCTGCTCATTGGATGGGACCCAAATACAACCTTCCTGGGATGGTTGGACTGATGTATGAAGGGAGATTGGATCCAGTTGGGACTATATTCATTGGAGTTTAGAAAAATGAGGGGCACCTCATAGAAACCGTTAAAATTTTAACGGGATTAGACACAGCTAACACAGGAAGGATGCTCCCGATGATCAGGGAGGCTAGAACTGGGCTCACAGTCTAGGATATGAAGTAAGCCTTTTAGGATTGAGAGGAGGAGAAATGTCTTCACCTGGATAGTGGTGGAATTCTCTGTCAGAGGAAGCGTTTGAGGCAAAAACATTGAATGCTTTCAAGAAGGAGGTAGATACAGTTTTTAGGGCTAAAGGGATCAAAGGGTGTTGGGGGGAGAAAGTGGGAACAGGGGGCTGAGTTGGATGATCAGCCATGATCCTATTGAATGGTGCGGCAGGCTTGAAGGGCTGAATGGCCTATACTTACTCCTATTCTCTACGCTTTCTTCCATTTGTCTCTCATCTGTAGTGAACCTCTCCTGAACATTCTCTGCTTCAAGAAGAACAATCCCAGTTTCTTGAGTCTATTCATTTAATCAAAACCCCTCGTTCCTGGAATTATTTTCAGTAAATCTCCTCCAGCCTTGACACTGAATTGCACACAGGACTGATGGCAGGGCTGCAACCAGTAACTTATAATGATTCAGCAGAACCTCCTGCCAAACTCTTTCTATTTGACAATCAATGTGTAAAGGTTTTCACAAAGATCTCGCCTCCACCTCACTCAGTCACCGTACGCTGACATCATGATTGCTTGCAAGCACAGGTTCCTTACTGAATATGTAATATGATACAAGATCTTTTTTTTTAATTTTACAGGTTTAGGAAGAACAGATCTAGACATCAATCACAAAACACTAGAGAGAAAGATCCAACCAAAACTGAGTCTAAAGAGTTGTTCTTGGGGCAGGACTCATTACCTCCAAATGGAACATTTCACAACCTGCTTCACTGCTAAACACAACCAGTAACTTGAAGAATGTAACATAAACACACTAAAAAAAATGATGTGGGATTTTGGGCTAGCTTCAGCTGCAGATGTGTTAGTATTTGTATCTCCGAGACACAGAGTTTGGATTACTGTGAAAACTAGCCCTTTGTTTTGGAGATAGTAGGAACTGCAGATGCTGGAGAATCTGAGATAACAAGGTGTAGAGCTGGATGAACACAGTAGGTCAAGCAGCATCAGA